TCGTCTGCATGCACCATGTTCATAGTTTAATATTGCAATGTACAAAAATCCTCAGCTTATCATGAATAATTTGAATATCGTATTTATTTACACATTTGCCAGCCTGCTAAACCAACTGGCAGACTTTGCTGCATAGAATTCAATTTACATGTACTTACAAGTTCTATTTTGTTCTTATCATAACTATTTTCTTTTTAATTCACAGATTTAGGCTGTGGTACATTCATTTAGCTATGAGTAGATAGTGAAATAAGCATTTTAATCTGTTTGCCTTATGAAGTGAAAAAGTAACACTGCATGCGGTTGTGTTGAATATATTAAACACAACGCACACGCACAAATGAAACGTGCATAAGGGTAACTCTTTATGCTGATTTGCAGTTAGAAAATAGCAAATAGGTTGTCATCAACACTTTCTAACTTGTGCGATTTCCTATGAGAGTACATTGAATATCTTTGGATGAATATGGCAGCCTGGGTTTTGTTTCCATTATTTACATTTCATTTTCTTTAAACAAATGCCAACTCATATATTTTCTCTTTTAGAAAACAGTAACATAATTAACGTAGTATTAACAGTATAGTTGAGTTTTTCCAACCATCATTAGACATTAAAACAAGTCAAACTAGTTACACGTGTCATAACAATGGTTTTGTGTAATATTCCTAATGCTCTCACTTCTAATATGCAGCCAGTGGACTGTGGATGATTTTGTGTCGCTCAGTTATCCAACAGGCTAATCTCTCTAGAAACTTTAAAGTAACCTTGATAAAGACCCTGAAGTCTTTCTTCCTGTGAATCATTCTATGTTGTTCTGTAGCAGAAGCTTAAAGCAACAACATTACTGAAAGTCATACAACAATCACTTTCTGTATGACACATTGTAAGGGTCTATTTATGTGACGCATCATCACTTTCACAGGGCGTCATTCTTAGGTTTACTTCGGAGTCTGTACGCACATATTTTTCCTGGATGATGCGTTCGTGTGTAACTTAGCGCACCTGAATGTGAATCGAGGAAGGCTTGCGACTGACGGTGAGTCATCATCGCCATGGTGTTAAACCTCCCGTTCCCGGGGGAACAGGGTTGCCGTCTCTACACTACTGGGGATTTTTATTTTTACATTCGAAAAGCAAACCGGGGCCCGGCTCAAAAACAATAAGGGTAGGAGCGGAGAGCGCAGGCAGATAGAGAGAGAGAATCGGAGGAGAGAGAGGATAGAGATGACGATAGCAGAGAGAGAGCGGCGAGATACGAGAGAGCTCGATAGATAGCGTCGAGTATATCGCTCTCTCTCTCTCTTCTTCTCTCTCTCTCTCTCTCTCTCTCTCTCTCTCTCCTCTCTCTCTCTCTCTCTCTCTCTCTCTCTCTCTCTCTCTCTCTCTCTCTTTCCTCCCCATGACTGAGCTGAATCACACATATACATCAGCCATCCCACACACACACACAAACATAGACACACACACATATACACACACACACACACACACACACACACACACACACACACACACACACACACACACCTTCTCATTTCAGAGCACCACGTCCTTATCTGTGTCTGTGTGATATTCAATATGTTTCAGATATCAAAAGACAAACCTATGCAGATGAGATGAAGGGGACAATATCCCAAACGCAATAACTACTCTCCACTGAACACCATACACTGTGGCTGTATTCTTAATGTTCCTAACTTTAGTTTTTATTTCACAGAATAGAGTGTGAAGGGCATTTTCTGAAACTCAGAGCCCGGCACCCTGTTAAAATAAAATGAAAAACACGAAACAGGAGCCTATGAGGAGATCAGATATCTTAGAGTAAGAGTTACACTTAAAGCAATAGTTACTTATTTCCAAGAGTTATTGGAATAGATCAACGCCACCTATGTCCGTGCGTTAAGTATTGCACTTTTTAACAATACTATCTAACAAGCCATTTCTCGTTTGTTTAATGTAAACACAAACAGAAATGTAAAAACAACAATATTCATTTAAGGCGTATGACAGCTGAATGTTTGATCATGTTTTATGTGCAAACCTTCATTTTGAGATGAGAGACCAGGATCGGTTGTTTGTCACCGAAATGAGTTTTTTTTTTATATTTAAAAATATACAGTCTGGTATTTTGACGAAGTACCACATATACGGTAACGCATCAGCTGTTCTTCTTTCTGATGATTCAACAAGGATAGATCCAAGCCTTGAATTTCTCAAAAAGCCAACTAACTAACTAACACTGTGTATCTTAAGAAAAATAACACAGCATCTGGATTCCTGGAAGCCCGACAATACCTCTTCAACTTCACAACTCTATTGGATATAAAACATTTACAATACAACTATGGTATCAGTTTGTACCGCTCTCCTCTTCGGAAAAAGGGGCCAAGATAGCAACTCACTTTCCCAAAGAATCACCATTATGATCTTGCACAAAAGAGCATGTTTTGTGAAGCGTTTCAATACAGAAATACCCAAGAATTTACCCATTTTCATAACTGTGTTCAAAACTGTGGTTTACATTTACATCTTTATATACAAAAGCAGGGGGCACAATAGAGGCCTTTGATGAAACTGTCAGAAAGAGGTTACCAGTAGTTACATGTGATGTTGCATCAATGTTCAGCAATCACATTCAGAGAGAAAACTTTTGTTAGAAGAGGGAGAGGTGCCAATGTTCTGACTTAGAGAAGAGGAAATGTTACACTCAGTGGTACAGATCTTTCCTTTCAGGCTCACACCCTTTTTCTTAGAGGTGTTAAAAGACATTTCAGGACAATTCAGTAAGTCAATAACCTTATGTGGAAGAAGACTAAGGTGCTGTTTACACAGGAACAAAACTGGTTGTATCCGCTACTTTTCTCTTTCGTATAGCCCGTTCGTTCACACGAGGCCGTAACGGAAACGCAGAAACGGCCCCTGCAAACGATAACGGGTGCCAAGGTGGATAGATCTGCGGACAGAATGCTCTGGGGGGCCAAACGGATCAGTGTGCACGTCCTATATGATAATTTTCCTGATAACGATGAAGCCATAGCCCCGCCTCTCCCCACCTCTGCTGCTCACTGCTGTAGCATGGTCAGTAGCTACTGTCAGTAGCTACTGACCATGCTACAGATGTTAGTGCAAAATCTACAGCTCCTCTACCACAACCATCAGCAACAAGTGGACATGGAGAACTACATGAACTACATGATGCTAAATCCACCGCGGAGAATAAACAGAAGGGCAACCAGGCAACCATGGCAACCATGCTCGGGGGTCTTCTTCGCTGCTTTTGGTGTATTTTGTGGCGGAAGTACAGCGCCACTTACAGGCCCGGCATATGTACTACAGCGTCTCCAGCGGGTCGAGCGGTCTCGTGTGAAGGGACACGTTTATTGAGCCGTATCCGTGTGAACGGAAGACTTTTTTGATATCGAATTTGGTTCGTTTGCATTTGCGTTCCCGTGTAAATGGGGCCTAAACTGGTTTAAGTGGGGAAAAAAATGTGGTTTGTTTTCATTTCATTTCAAACCTTTATTTATCCAGGTGTATCCCATTGAGATCATTGATCTCTTTTTCAAGGGAGACCTGATCAAGTAGGTTCCACATGAAAACATAAACAGAACAACAAAAAGAACATCATTCAGCATCATTACAGGGTTTACAATTTACATAACTACCCACATAAACAGGTACCAACAGCTTCCGATTGAGTAGCATCCAACCGAGCTTTAAAAACATTTAGTGGCACCAGATTGTTCAGTTTCCATTTCAATTGCAGACTATTCCAAGACAGAGGAGCTGCGCATCTAAAAGCTATCTTCCCTAAGACAGTCCTAGCAGTTGGCACATTTAATGAAACTACAGCATGCGATCTCAGGCAGTAGTCACTTACAATTCGCCGTGAGATCAGGGAGCAGATGTAGGATGGAAGTTTCCCTAACATGGCTTTATATATAAAAATGTACCAGTGACTGAGCCTCCGTACAGTTAGCGAAGGCAAACCAGCCCTTGCATACAGGGTACAGTGATGGGTTAATACTTTACAGTTTGTCACAAATCTCAGTGCGCTGTGATACGCAGCATCTAACTTGAGCAGGCAATTGGCAGGTGCATTCATATAGATCAGATCACCATAGTCCAGCACAGGTAAAAAGGTCACAGTGACTAGCCTTTTCCTGGCCTCAAGCGAGAAACAGGACTTATTTCTGTAGAAGAAACCTAGCCTAACCCTCAGCTTTTTAAGCAGGTTATTGACATGACATTTAAAAGTGAGACAATCATCAAGCCAGATACCAAGGTATTTGTAACAGGTAACCACTTCAATTTGTATTCCTTGCGTAGTTACAATATCTACGACAGGCTCTGGTGTCTTTTTAGCTTTTGAAAAGAGCATTACCTTGGTTTTATCAACATTTAAAAGAAGCTTTAGTTCAGAGAGCTGAGTCTGAATAATGTTAAAACCAGCTTGCAATTTAACAACAATTGTCCCTCTCTGCCATTAAACTTCTGCTGTAGTCTTATCCAAATAACTTGGTACTGACAGACATGGAGGTTACTGGTTGAAAACACTTTCAATAATATGTGATTTTGAGCGTTTGTAACATATAATGCTATAATACAACAAGCTAGAAGGACACCTGGGGTGCTGTTACACTCTCCCACCAAGTTTCATGAAGATAGTGCGAGTACTTTTTCAGTAGTAGTTCTAACAAAGAGACAAAAAGACAAATAACCCATATTGAAATCATAACCACCTCTGCAGGGGTAAAAGACTGAACACATCTTTTCATACCAAACATTTTCGAAGCTTGTTCAACTTGAAAAGCAGTTGAAAAAGAGGTTGTGCTGAACAAACCGCCATAGACACAAACCAGAATAAAGTGGTTTTTTCCCTTTTAGATGAAGTCCAACAGAGCCAAATGAAACCAGATTTAAACTGAACAAATAGACTTTTCTTTAAAACATATAATTGTATTAGTGGTGGTTTGCTGAAATATTGTAGGAGACTTACTGTATCTCTTTGGTCCATCCTCGAGGCAGAACGATAGCGTTAGGGTGGCGTCTTCTTCAAAAAACTCTGTAGCGAAGGCGTCCCACCACAAACTGTCACTTTCCTGTTAAAGGACAAAAACAATGCAACGGTTAGACAGAACTTTCTCAGGGTTAATGAACACATCGTTTTCTTAAAAAGTAGAATATGCGGCATGTAAATGAATGTCACTCCAGGTGTTCCTCTGTCTCTAAACATAACCATCTGTTATTTCAGTTTGGGCATTATTTAATAACCCAGTAAATGTCCTTTATCCACGTTATGCTCTTGTGCGGCTGCTTTTTTATTTATTTTTTGCATAAATTCAATAACGATTCATTCTGATAACACAAAGATATTGTGACCGCGCAGGTCTTCCTGTGATACAAGATGAAACAGAACATTGTGTTTTTGAGAATTGAAGTCAGCGGTGCAGGGCAAGTATTCCCTTTATTGGACATGGGCTCGTTTGATGCTTTTTATTAAAATGCATTTCATGAGTTTTTTTTTTTTAGAAATCCCTGTTTTTACATTTCAGTTACAAAGGGGTTCAAGTATGACTCGTAAAACAGTCAAATACATTATGCGCGTAATATAAATGACGACAGGGCCATAAAAAGACACCACAATATGACAGAATATGAACAAAAGGCTAACAGCTACAAAAAGCTTATAAAAATGAGTCCATAAATCAGGTTCAAAAGAGTGATCTCAGTGCTGGCTGCTGGCCTGAGCTTCTCTTAGAGCTCGATGTAAAGTCAGAGCCCGCTAACACCCTTTACTTCTCTTGAGCCTGGACTTTGGAGGGTCCTGCCTCGGGCTCTTGCAAGTCTGAATTACAAGCTGACGTCCAACCGCTTTCACTGCTGCTGCCACTTTCTGCAGCACGTATACGGGATACTTTCAACTTGTACCTTTCAAAAGTGGTAAATGCATATTATTATTAAACATTTAGTTGTAGTACTGGTGGTGGATTTGTGTGCTTTTTTAGCAAACTATAACTCACAATTATTTTCCACATCTGATGGTTATATATTCCAGTCTCTCAAAGTCCAAGGTAATGTCCTTCAATGTCTCATCAGTCCAAAAACTACTCTTATTCAGTTTAATATGATATAAAACAGAAAACAAATGGTAAATCCTTGAATTTGAGAGGCTGAAAACAGTATTTACTGCGAGGTTTGCACAAACAATGAAAATGTGACTTATTTTCTTTTTTAGATGGAAATAGAAATAGTAACTTCATAATTATTTATTATAGCAGAACTCGGACGAGTAGTAGATCTGGTAGAACAAGTAGTAAAGGTTGTACAACTAGCAGCTATTTGAAGCAGTAACAGTTGTACAAATATCTGTAGTATACTAAAAAAAAGATTCATTATACACCCTCATTTAATCATCTTATATCCCCTCTAAACAAATCCTGTAAAATCAACATATAGATCGCGCTACTAGTCATTGTAGCGCTAGAAGTGATAATAGCAGAGAAGCAGTATTGAAGGTGACTGTGTAGGGAAACACATTCATGTAAATCTCTTTGACCTGATATTACTCCTCTAACAGGCGTTTACCCTCCTCCCCCTCCTCACAAACCCTCAGATAATGTTGGCAGGAAGACCCCCCTCTCCACGTTGGACTGATGCTAATTTCCTCTGACTCGTTATGACAGATCACTGGTTTCATTCTGCGCGGGGCTGAGGGATGGCAAGCACTTTCCAGATGTTGACAATTAGCCTTGTCACCATCGAGCAGTGTCAAGCCCAATAAGCAGCGAGCGGGAGCCTCGCAGGTCAACGGGTCGCTAACATGATGAGTCTGATGCCAAGAGGAAGACGTGTGGTCAGGAGGAAGAGCGAAACCTGGACCTTCATCCAGCTGCTCAATCAATATGTGATCATATGTAAGTGGAGAGGTCTTTGGATGGCAAATGAATCAGCTGAACTGTGACTGAACTGCAAAGGGATGGAGTTTTAATTATAAGGCAAAACATTAATCCCTTGTAAAAATGTATCTGCATATTGAAGTATGAATGCTTGTTGTTGTTGTTCTCCTGAATGTCGTACGTCTCTTGTTTTTTGCATTTTTGATGGCACCTTAAAACAGGAGTAGCTCTACTCATCTCATTGTACCTGTATAATGAAAATAAAAGATTCTATTCAATATTCTGTTCGAAGTTTATGTGCAGATATTATTATTTTTATCCAAATCAAAACAAATTGAGAAGATCATTCCAATTATTCAAACTAAAATCAGCCCCACATTTGATGCAGTAAACTATATGTCTATACATCAATCTTCCAAGGCAGGTTGTAACTAATGCTTGTGTTCATTATCAATTAAAAATGCCAAACACAACATCCAAGACCCAAATATGAAATGTCATATTGCATCTTTAAATATAGAAAAATGTTAAACGCAATCCTAAACTTTGAGAAGCTTGATGCACGAACATTTTTGCCTTTTTTCCCCATTGATAAATAATTAAAAAAAACAATTATTGAATAAAACTATAACAGAATAATTCAATTTAAGCAGTAATGACCTAATGTTTGAAAAGGTTGACCATCCATTTGACTTCAAAAACGAAAAAGCCAAATGTCTCAATGGCTTCATCAAACACTGGACCAGTCGTGTCGTAAACATCATGCATTGTTGACCAGTAATTATAGCGCCCCATTAGGTCAATCAGTGTAATTGCTTAAATGACAGAACAAATTCATGTGTGGAAACTTGCCAGTGTATCTCTGTTTCTGTGCATGTCCACCAGGAGCAGACTGCATGAGCTGCCTTGTGTGTCTGTGTGTGTTTCACTATCTGTGAGAATAAGCTAGTGTGTGACAACCCTGTCTCCTAAAAATTACGTTCCCACAGAACTAAACTGCATTCTGAATTACGTTTAGCTTGAAACGTATTTACTCCCACGTTACGTTCGTTATGAACGTATCTACAATACGTTTATTTTCTACATATCTTCTAGAAACATATTTTCTCCCACGTTACGTTCCTTATGAACGTATCTTAAATACGTTTATTTTCTACATATCTTTGCCATTTATTGCCTTGCTTATAATAATGATAATAGTCATTTATAAATATCATTTTAGAGCACACCTTTGAAATCGAGAATCAGGCTCGATATATGGTTAAATTAAAATCAGTAGGCGAGGCTGTAATTTCGCCAGCTGTTACTCTCATGAGCAAGGCAGAAAATAATAGTTTTAACATGACAAAAAGCTGCTGTGTCGTTTACCTCAAACATTAAAACAAATCCAGAGTTACGTGTTTCTGTACTTCCTCTAAGAAGAAAAGACAGTAAAAGAAGAGCTCTGTGGCTTCAGGCTTGATCGCCGTTCAAATGACAGCGTTGGTTTCCCCAAAAGTGGGCGGGGCTGTAAAGTGACGTAGATTTTACTATCATCTATTATTCAAAACCATTCTATGTATTCTAACGTAAATTACATGCCAGTGTTTTATCTTTTTATTTTAAATCGTATAAACGTCTGTGAGGAAAATAAATGGGGTTTAGAGCCTCAAAATACTGAAATCTGTATTTTTTAAAATCTTTTCCTTCTAATTTGTTATTCTTTTCTAAATAACATACTGTTATTTACTCAACAATAACACACAATTATCCTTGTTTTTATTTATTCGTTTAATTCTATAATCTTGGGCTTTTTATCCGTAAATAAAGTCACCAGAAACAGACGGGACATTTCGAGATTTAGGATGGCCGAAGACACTACACTACCCATAATCCCCAGCTATCGTTTGGGACTACAGTCCCGTTGACAAACCCCGTGATGTTGGAGTGGCAGTGCGCCAAGGTTACGCCGAGCGTCAAGCTCTTTGAAATGGAACGAAACCACGGCAGACTATTCAAAACTGGACTCGAACGCCCCCCGAGAAATACACATGCTGGCTATTGTGTTTCGCAACATGTTCTCTATGGCACGTATCTACTGGGAATTGTAGTTTTAAAAGACGTTTTTCCCAAAATTAGAAGTTGCCAGTATTAAACTGTGTACAGCCCTGGAGGTTTAGGCGATAGGAAACACATTGGTGTGTACACATTTAAAACATGTAATTACTAAATGGGTAAAAATCGCTTATATCCATAATGGGCAGCATTAATATATACCCACACGACAGCTTACTTTGTAATTCTACTCCACTACAATTCAGAGGTTAACCTGGTATTTTTACTCCACTACATTTAGTTTAGTTACTTTGCAGATTCTGATTAATGATGTGAAATATAAACAACCCTTAAAGCAGACTTTAGTTACACCTGAGTAAAATTCAGGGAAGGTGATTGTCAAGTGCCAACAATCAGGAGAGATATTTGATAGGTGGTGCTGAGAAGACTAAACATTTATCTGCAGATCTCTATAAAGTATATTCATTAATCGTTATTCTCTACTAATAGTTAATTAAAAACTGTATAATGGCTATTTTGCACATCCCTTTCAAGATTTCAAGATTTTCTAAGGTTTATTGATCATATACACAACTTGGGTCGCAGGTTCCTCAACAGCGCATTACAAGACATCTATCAATATGTGTGTACCTCCACCATTAAACTGTCATATTCTGCACATTTCTTATTCTATCTACATACATAAGAGTATAATTAATGTGTATAATATCAGTTAAAAGAAGTGCTTCAACATAGTTAACATTGCAGGAAAGCAATATATTAGACGTTAAGTACTTTGTCAGGCTTAATATTCATCTGTAGATAGATACCCCCAAAGCTTTTTTCTTGTTTAAAATAAGACCTTAACCTAAAGTATTCTTTAATGTGTTAATAAAGGTTAATTCGTTTTTCTGTTTTGCACATCCTCCTATTAATATCTTTGTACATCCGGCACTAAACTGTTTTATTGTAGAGATCACTTATAGTATCTTCTTGACTTTTTATATTCTATATTTCTATCATTGACCTTCTACTTTCCCCCTATGAAAGTATGTACTCTTAATATTGTTTTCATCAAATAACATTATTCAACAAAAATAATTCAATAACGTGCTTTAAGCACTAGGCGGTGCACATAAGGTACACACAGCATACTAATAATAACTTTG